TGATCTCTGTGCCAGGAGTGTTAGAATTTCAAAATAAAAAAACCTGCATTTACAAGCGGCAGAACAACTGTGAAAGAGGCCTACAGATACCTATAGTGAGAGAGGAAAGAAACTGCATTGCCAATCGCTTCTTCTGAAAATGCTAATTTCCTGGCTTTCATGCCAATCCAATGGCTTCAGAGCTGACCTGGAACAAGTATGCAAATCAGGAGTTCTAATTTCACTATGACTTTCTGATGTGCATGCTTCTTCTAGGTCAGTGACCGAGAATGTATTGAGGTTAGAACAGCAAGACAACTAGTAAACCTTAGCACAAGGCTAACAATGGTGGCACCTGTATTTCTCTCACTACAGTTATCAATTAAAGTGTTTTACTTTTGATTTTAGAAAAAAAAAAAAATATTTGACATTAGATCACATGCATTGTTAAAAAAAAAAAATGTTGCTGAGGTAGGGAATGTATTCCGAAAAGTGAAGGTCCCTCTAGGAAGGGCAGATCTTGTGTCTCCAACTAATGTTGATGAAAGAATGTCTACAGCCAGCTTTAGTGCTAAACAGGTAGGGTCATAAAACTGACAATTCTCTTCCTCTTCTTGTGTGTTCCGCATTGCTTAGCGTACAATAATGTTTAAGGCATGTGTCACCTGTTAGATTTAATTTAAAATCTGATATGGTCACAGCAATATTATCACATGAGGCACATATAGTAAAAAACTAATCATGGTAACCACACAAGACTGTACTATATGCATTCAAACATTTGCAGCACCGATTCTGCTTATCATATGGGCATGTGTTTCCTATAAATACACAAGCCTGTGTTAAGATGGTGGAAAAGAGGATTGTATCAAATTCGGGTTTCTGTAATTCACTTCATGCAACACAGTTTTTCATGTATGCATTTCCCCTCTGTGCAAATGGGAGCTGAAAGCACAAACAACAAACTGTTTCATGTTCATTCTTTGTTAATTAATAAAAAGCTCCAAAGGATGCTGTTAACATCAGAACTTAAAATCATCTATTCTCTTCCAGCTTCATAGCTGTAGTGCTATTCTACTCCGTAAAAATATTTAAAGATTTTATCTTGCTGTTTTTGTAGCAAGCCATGAACCATCCCAAAATTGGCAGAACTCCTTGAACACCTCTGGGTGAAGAGGCCATTCCCCCAGAGATAACTGTTGATGGGTAAGAAAATTCACCTGTCAATTTTCTATACCTGAAATGTAAACGGTGGACAAAGCTGGAGTATGGTGTTCATCCAAGCAAAAATGAGGTCTACCTCTGCCTAGGTCACCCAATTCTGATACCGCCTTGATGATTTTTGTTTGCCATAGCTGTGGAATGGTCCAACTGAACCCTCACCGAAAAGCCTCCCAGCAATATTGACCAATGAAGCAGGGATAGACAAATAGCCCTCAGTTCCAAAATACTGATGGGCATCATCCTTTCCTGTGGAGATCAAGTTCCCTGAACTTATCAATGATCTAGAACTCTTCCTCAGCCATTAGGCTGGCATTTGTTGTCAGCACCTTCCAGGATAGAACAACAAATCCCAACTCCATACTTCAAAGGAGACCCACCATTCCAGAGACTGAGCCATCACCTTGGGAGCTGTAGACAGGCCAAATAGCAGAGCCAAAAACTGGAAGTGGTTTTCCTTTACCACAAATCTCAGAAATTAGTAATGTGGAAAAATTGTGACATATAGGTAAGCATCCTTGATATCAATTTATGCTACAAAAATCTCCCTGCTGAAGAGCTGTCAGTATCGACCTCACTGATTTCATACTGAATTTCTGTATGCTTCATTGAATTTCTTTAGACCCAAGATGGGGCAAAGACTGCCAAATTTCTTTTGTGGATCTGAAAAAAACTTTTGAAAGCATAAATCAATGAAGAGGAAGGCTCTGAACTTCCAGCCTTTATCCTCAAGCCACAATGTTGCAGACCCAGTCATATGCAATCTCCCTCTGCCAAACTGCCTGCAAAGACCTGCAACAGTCTCCACAACCAAATAAGTGGGGGGCCCCCTTCATTCTGAAGAAGTCTTATCCCCCGGCTTGGAAGGCTTTGGATCCCGTGCTTTCTTGTGAAATTGGGCCTGGGTTTTGGGCTTGATCCAAACTTTTCACATGCTTTTTTTGCAGGGTAATTCTGCTGACCAAAACTTCAGCCACAGGATCCTGTGCATGTGTACCGAGAAGATTCCAAAATGGGGAAACTCTTGAATGGAATCTTTTCACGTGTCCACTAAAAAAAAAAAAAAAGAGTACATCCTCCATGCTTTTGGTCATGTCAGTATCATTAGGGGAATCCCTCTCCTCTGTAATGTGTCAAACTTAGATTTTTAGGCTCTGGCAAATTCCTATAGTCACTATCATTGGCTTTAAAGCTTTCCCACAAGGGCAAATGAAGCCTTAAACAGTGTCTTCAGACATTTGTTCACAGCATTTAAACACCAGGACCAAGTGAGGTTCTTAATTAGATATTGAAGGCATACTCCATTTTTAAGTGAACTCTTAGAGCGTAAGTTCAGCTTAGGACAAAAACAATAAATGCACATTTTTTTGGTAAAAAAATGTGCATGTATTATTTTTTTCCAAAGGAGCCTGGAAAGCATTGCACCAACGATCAGCAGATCACTGATGCCAAGCAGGTTTCCTGCAGACCTGTCAGAATATCTGCTTGCTGTACAGGGATGTACGATCAAGCAAAAATACAGACAGAAAGCTTCAATGAACTACCACAGCGCTCAACAGCACCATGGTAGTTCATTGAAAACTATAAGCCCACAGCCGCTAAGGCTGTCAGGACTTGCAGTTCATTTATTCATTTAAGTCCATGAATGAATGACGTGGCCGTGTGAGGGCGAAGCCCAGCATGGCTGTGCTGTTTTCAAACTTGACAGATAGTACTGGGATGTTTCTCCCCATACTATCTGTCAGAATGAGGGGGTGGTGGGCACGGCTAAAGCTATGGGAACATGTTACATGTTCCACTCTAAAAACAGGTGGAACATGTAACATGGTCCCAAAGGTGAACTATTGCTGAGTGAACCTGGCAGAAAAACTTTGGCGGAAAACCTCATTAGGGTGAGCCCAGTCCACATATCCTTCAAGTGAGGATGTATTGAGAAAGACTGTGGATGTTGTGGTGCCTCCATGAATCAAATCCTGTCACCCTTGGAGCAGAAGATTCAGAAAGTAGTCATTTAAAATTAGTTTGAACACCTTCCACTGGAAGTTCACAAGGGCCCTTTGAGTCTAAGAAAAACTATGACCCTGGTATTCTTCAGGAATAGATTAGCCATTGGAACATTATCGTCATCCTCTACCACTTCCTCCCCTAATTCCTCCTTTGTTAATATTGAGGTAGGGTGTGAGAGAGCGCTTCCATTTTGTAACCAACAGAGTCCAAACTGGCAAGTATTCCGGAAAGCTGTTGTTGTACCTTAGCAATAACAGATGAAAATGCTTCCCTCGTCACAAATTAGCTGGAGGACAGAGACTCTAACTTAGTGGATTTACCGGATGATGAAAGGAAGTCAGATCCACCCGAGATAAACTGACTCCAGAGGATATGTTGCAGAGGGACTATGCACCAGTTCCTTCTTACCTACCAGAGTGTGGGACCTTGCACCCCGTACATCCTCTGCTATCTGCTCCTTGTAAGATCTGGTCTGGCGATGAACACCAGAACCCTTGCTAAAACAATAGTGGTCCATGTCAACTGAAAGACACCCAGTCAACAAGACCTCCCGTGTGCTGGTACCTTGAGTGAAAAAATCCTTGTATTCAGCCAGTCCCCAGAGCTGCATGGACAGGACCTTTTTATGATGCTAGCAAAAAAAAATAAAGCCTGACCTAATAGGGGTTATATCTGGAAGGACATTTCCTGTCTTTATATCATTCTTGCTATTGTCCAATCACCTGATGGTGCCAGCATAACTATATCATTATGAATTTGAAGATGCTCTGTGTCCCAAGATGTACAAAAAAAGAAGCTTATAGTAAACTCCAATGCTTCTTCACTTTATTTAAACTGAAATTAAGCTTTCGGCTGGAGTTTCTCTTAATCTTATATGCCCAATGTTAACTCTTCTTTAGACTATGCTTCAAAGCCTTGGTAGCTCCTAAAAATTCAAGCAACCACCACAAAGCAAATACAGTATGTAGAAATTTAAATGATCTGATTTTTTGAGAAATGTAAAATGCTGTTCTGAGATGCAAATGGCTGTTCACTTTAAACAGGTTTGTACAGTTTCAGATTTTTTAAAAAAGAACAAAAATGTCACACTTACCTGTTCTGTGCAATAATTTTGAACAGAGCAGCCCCGATCCTTGTCTTCTCGGGTCCCCTGCTGGCGCTTCTGGACCCTCCCCCATGCTGAGTGCCCCCAGAGCAAGCTGCTAGATCTGGAGGCACTCATGCATGCTCGCTTCCGAGCTGCCTCTGTGTGCCTATGAGACATACAAAGCACGGCTCGGTCCCGCTCCCTCCTCACTGGCTGTGATTGACAGAAGCAGAAGCCAATGTCTCCCGCTGCTGTGTCTCATCCTATGAGGAGGGATAGACCCTGCTGCTTTTGTGCACACCGCTGGATCGGGATCGGGGCCCGGGTTAGTATAAGAGGGGGCTGTGGGGGGGAGCTGTACACTGAAGGTTTTTCACCTTCATGCATAGAATGCATGAAAGTAAAAAAACCTTCAGCTTTTAGAAACACTTTAGGCCTAAGGGCCCTTTCACACTAATCCATATTGTATGTGTTTTTGGGCTGTGTGGAAGAAAAATTCATAAAAAATATCCTGCATGCTGCATCTTTGGTTCTCTTTTCAAAAGTGCACCAAAAATTAGTCTCCCATTCATTTCCATTGAAAACACACTAAAAAATGCATCAATAAAGCATTTCTGGTGTGATTTTTTGAGTCATATCCTAGGAAATAGGGCAACATTACAATCTGCTTTCTTGATTTTTAATTGTCTTTCTTTGCCTTTCTTAGGTTTTTCTGCTCTAAGTGCTCTAAGTGAAGAGGAACAACTATTAAAATATCTGTTTGAAGAAAAGGGTTACAGAAAAGATCTGCGACCAGTGGACCATCCAGATGAAACAGTAGATGTATATATTGCATTGACACTTTCCAATCTCATTTCATTGGTATGTCTATTTTATATCAATATAATGTGGCCAGATACAGTGCTCTCTGCTATTTGGATTGAGTACTGTTCAGCTTCAGGACATTGCTATCTTTGCTAAGAAGTTATGGCATAGCTTCAGCAGCTAAATCAAGATGCGTTCTGTAAAATAGGACAACCATTGCAAAGACCTCAAATTAATAATAATAATATTACACTGGGTAGTGGTAAGAAATTATAGTTATGTCCCTGTAAGAAAATAGTGGGTGATAAAACAAATAATAATACGTATATATTATTGAAGAATATATTTTAAAAATATATATATTTAAAATATATTTTTTTAAATATATTCTTTTAGATTTTTTTTAACATATAAAAAAGTAATTTAAACATATATTTTTACATATATCTGTAAATGCGTTCCAAAAATGTAGATTTGTATTTTTAAAGACATACAGTATATTTGAAATGTATTTTTAAAAATATTTTTTATATATTTTGTAATAAAAACGCATTTCAACATTATATATATTTATATGGCCAAAATTGTAGCATTTTAAATATATGTCAATATATTCGGGAAGAATATTTTTCAAATATAATTCAAATATATTTTTCTTCCATGTGGGAAGCTACATTGGGGCTTAGAGAGGTGGGGGTCGAGACTGCAGGGGGCATGTTATCAGGAGGCAGAGAAATAGTAGTGCACTGATCTTTCCAGGGATTAACTGTGCGAAGGGGGCATGTCAGAACAAGTCCAACCACTGGCATAAAGGCAGACTGTATTTCCAAGTAGAATGCAAAGAGGAAAACTAACCATGCTGGGATGGATGTCCTTCTATGCCTAGCATGGTCAGTGTTAAATATGACAGCAGGAAGACTGGACCACCAGGTACTTTCTCAGAACCAGATCATTTTTAGTACATTGTACAACAGATACATATCAGAAATATGAAACGCTGGGGTAACCTACACTATGCTTTATTCTTCCTGAAAAGTAATTAAATGAATGGTCTTAAGTATACCTGCATGCCTTTGCTATGTCATAAAAGAAAGTAAAGAAATAAGAGTAAAGAAAAAAAAAGTGTAAAAAAGAGAAAAATTGTTGCTTATTCTACAAATATATTGTAAGTGGCATATATGAATTTATTGGTGCCCCTAGAAAAGATTATAAATAATTGCATTATGGTGATATTTCAAACTATTTTCTGTAAATAGTATCACACAAGTCTTCAATCTTGTAATCAGTCAGTCAGCCTATTTAAATAGAGAAAAGTACTTACTCTGCTGTTTGGCATTACCACACTAAACATGGACCAGAGAAAGCAATAGAATGAGCTGTCTGAGGAGATCAGAAGGAGAATTATGGGCCAGAAAATCAAAGGTAAATGCTATAAGACCATCTTCAAGCAGCTTAATGTTCCCACGACTACAGCCTCAAATATTGTTAAAATGTTTAAGGTCCATTTGAATGTAACCAACCTCACTGAATGTGATTGCAAGTGGAGAATCAACTTCAAATTACACAAAAAGATAGTGTGAATGCTAGACAAAGAGCCACTAAAAACTTTCAAAGAGATACAAGCTGAACTCCAAAGTCAAGGTACATCAGCGTCTGACTACACCCATCCATTACTATTTGAGGGACAGTGGGCTCAAAGGAAGACGATCCAGGAAGACTGCGGTATGGAAATAACATAGAATTGAGTTTCCTAAAATGCATATTGATAAGCCACAAAGCTTCTTGGAGAATGTACTTTGAACAGATGAGACACAGCCGGAGCTTTTCTTGGCCAGTCACATCAGTTCTATATTTAAAGACAAAAAATGAAGCTTACAAAGAAAACAATGCTGCACCCACTTTGGCTTGGTCATGTTTTCAGACTGCTTTGAAGCATGTGACATGGGGTGCTTTGAATCTCTGAAGAGCAAAATGGATTGTGGAGCTAAACCTACTGCCCAGTGTCAGAAAGCTCAGTTGCAGGTCATTGGTCTTCTAACAGGATATAGACGCAAAACACATAGCTATAAATACCCAGGAATGAAAAGAACAAAACATCGGACTATTCTAAAGTTGACTTCTATGAGCCTTAGTCTAAATCCTATTGAACATCTATGGAAGGAGCTGAAGCATGCACTCCGGAGACAGTACCCATCAAATTTGAGACAGCATGAGTAGTTTGCTCAGGAATAATGGACCAAACTACCCATTGGCAGGTGCAGAAGTCTCATTGAGAGCTACAGAATTTGCTTGTCTGCAGTGCAGTCTCTAAACGTTGTGCAACAAAATATTAGTTGAAGGGCCCATCATTTTTGTCCATGCCAGTTTCATTTGTTTTATTATTTAAAATATTCTATGGAACTAAAAATCTAAAGCAAAACATATGTTTTTTTAAATAAAATATATAGTGAACATTGATGGATGACACAACATATAATTAAAGGCTGTTCTTTTTTTAATAGAATGGAGAGGGATTAGAACACTTGTCAGTTTTTATTGCTGTCTGTGTCACCCTCTCTAATTATCTGGTTTGCCATTATCATTGAAAGTGAAAGTAAAAGAAAATCCCAAATTTTGGGTTGTCCCCAGACAAATGATAGATGGGAAATCTTTCAATGGGGACATTGCTTCTGGTCATCTGGGGGTCACCGTGGAGAAAAAAAATTGACGGGGTTATAACCCTTCCTTACTCTATCCAAAATGTAAAAAGTTTTGCCTATAGTTCTTCTATACCTTTGGTTAGTTTTAAGTTACTTCAGAGAAAATTGTGGGTTGTTCTTTTTTCATGGACGGACATCAACAAACTGGTCCAGGTTTATACTGTATATCCAGCAGAGAGATGATAGATAGATAGATAGATAGATATATAGATAGATAGATAGATAGATAGATAGATATCCATTAAAATACACAAGATATTCATGTAAAAGTAAAGTATTTTTGTGGTAATGTCTCAGCATTTTCATCAGTTACTTAGGCATTATAGTAAGGTGTATAAAAAAAATTTTTTATTGCAGAAAGAAGCAGATGAAACCCTCACCACAAATGTCTGGGTTGATCAGGTAAGTTATACTCTATATTCATTACCAGGCCTCTTCTAATTCTGTTTGTGGTTGTTATATTATCCTGAAATAATTGATTATACCAGATGAATTTGTCCACCTTTAAAAAGGCTTCTTGTAATCAGCAATTCCTATTGATCAATTGATGAGTAGTCCCTTGAGCTCTGTTCACAGGGAGGTGAATGGAAACCTGTGTAAATGTACTTGGACACCAGATAAATGAGTACCACTGTACACACTCATTCATGCTTATATACAAAACCACGTTAAACGAATGTCTAAGGCAGGGGTCTCCAACCTTACTAAACAAAAGACCAGTTTACTGTCTTTAAGACATTAGGAGGGCTGGACTCTTTGCAGTGGGAGTAGAAAATGCCTTATCTTTGGTATTATGTGAGAAATAGTGCCTGTTGTTAGTGTCAGTGGTAGGAATAGTGCCAAATCATTGGTATCAGTGGAAGGAATAGTGCACCATCATTTCTATCAGTGAGAGGTTTAAATCCCCATCATTGGTGTCAGTGGAAGGAATTGCGCCCCATCATTGGGTCATTGGAGTCCAATGGGAGGAATAGTGCACCATCATTGGAGTCAGTAGGAGGAATAGTGCCCCTTCATTCCTATCAATGGGAGGAATAGGGCCCCTTCATTCCTATCAATGAGAGGAATATTGCCCCTTCATTCCTATCAATGGGAGGAATAGTGCCCCATCATTGGTATCAGTGGGAGGAATAGTGCCTCATCGTTGGTATCAGTGGGAAGAATGGGAAGAATAATGACATGCTTTTGGAGTCAATGGATGCACCATTCCGGTGCTCCAAAGGCCAGATAAATGCAATCAAAGGGTCGCATCTGGCCCCCGAGCCACATATTGGAAACCAGTGGTCTAAGGCTGTGGTTTTCAACTTGTGGAACTTCAGGATCCACATTTGTCCTTGGTCGCGACCCAAAAATAATTTAATTTCCAAAACATTATAATTTATTTCACAAAACAACTTGTGCAGTATTTTACAATGTATATGCACTTTTTAAACTGTAAGCAAATGGCTTCCTTCTTAAATGGATAGTCCAGTAATTACAGCATTAGTGAAAATAAAAGTGCTGTTGAGGTAAAAACCCAAAAAATAAATAGTAATTGAAACACATGAAATTAATTATAACTAATGGGAAAACTGGGGATCCTTCTTGCTCTTGGTAAGTGTCTGGGTGATGATAGGGGCATTAGGGAGGCCTGAGGGGCACTTTCCCCATGGCCCAGTCCACCCCTGTTCACGACCCACTACTTGAGAAACACTGGTCTGAGGTATATATTGCATCACTGAAACGATGTACTCAACAACCGCACTGTATGTTACAGCTGTATGGTTTGTTGTATTCTTGGCTTTCTTTGTTATGTCATTTGTTGAATAATGACTGTATTCTTTCAACAGGGATGGTATGACAATAGACTGACATGGAATACGACTGAATTCTATGACATTGAAATACTTAGAGTTCCTCCTGACATGGTGTGGCAGCCAAATCTTATCCTAGAAAACAAGTAAGAGTGGGTGGCGCTATTAATGATATGTTATCCAAAATTACCTATTTTTCTTCTGTGCAAAACAAACAAACAAAAAAAAAGCTATGCAGTACTTCTCTGCAATACATGCACGTTTTTCCAGGTTTCATCCGTGGAAAGATTTTGCTGAAGGTTCCGTGCCCCAAGCCGCAGTATCCCTGGCCTAAATCTAGTTCTGAGCTTCTATTGATAATTCTGCTTTGCTCAGGTTTTCTCTATGCTCCCAGTTATTGTTTGCTTCTGCCCACTGTTGGAGATTGTTCCTGGCAATAGTGTAAAGAGGATCCAACAACTTGAACTATGATTTCTTATGTCTGCCTGACCAGCCACTAGGAGGGCTATTGCCAGCTGTGCATGCTGCAGAAGAGTATAAATGTTAGGGAATGACCTTGGAAAGCCTGCTTCCCTCCCAGACTCTGATGTGTTCCCGTCCTCTAGGCCTGCTGCCTGGGGTGGTATTCTGTACTACAGAGAAGCCCAGGCCTGGGTCCTAAAGCTTTCTGCTGTCCAGCTGGAGAGTATATCTGGGGGAGTGTAACAGAAAGGTGATTGCCTGGATTGCCAGCAGGGGTGATTGCCAGCAGGAGTGAAGGCTTCACTTCTGAAAAGAAGCTACAGCTGGTAGACATTGCAAGGGGTTCTGGTGACTTATCCATGGGACCATAGACGGCAGTAAAAAATCTAGCAAACATGCAGAGAATAATGCACCAACACACCACACTGGATTCAAAGAGCCTGGTTTATTGGTTTAAAACATTGACTTAATGATCAACTTTATTAAATACCATAGCTATATTAAACTACAATACTCAATATCAGGGGTGGACTGACCATTTGGAAACTCAGGCACTGCCCGAGGGCCCGGGGTCAGTAGGGGGCCCCATGAGATGTCCCTTGTACCTTTTTCATAGGCTTTTTTGAGTTTGGGCAAGGACACAGGGGCCCCATGATCCCCTATTGCCCGGGGGCCCCATTAATTGTCAGTCCGCCCCTGCTCAATATCAATGAATGTATTCAGTCCAGCCACTAAGACCCGAGCTGACAAAGCATTTATAATTACTCATCTTCTTACATTTTCCCTTTGATATAACACCAAAGGGATCCACCACATAAACCAGCCAGGATGGGATGGGGTGGGGGTGGTAGGGGAGCTCCTGTACGGTGGTCACTCTCTGGCAACTGGCAAAAACCCTATCTGACAGCCTCTTTATATAGGGCTCCCTGGGGTTCTGGAGAATTAGGGGGGTAGCCTGACATTAATTGACCTATCTCTATTGACTCCCCACAATTCCCAGAACCTTCTCTATCATGTGACCCTAGTTAGACTATCACATTCACCCCCATTAAAATCAATGAACTAGGGGGTAGAATGCCGTTGCCACGGTCTCATGAGGTGAAGGGGGGCCTCATACAGGCTTCTCTCTTCTTCCTATACAAGGGTATATGTGCTGCACTGAAGTTGCTCTACAATCTGAATAGTAGGGGGTGCTGATCTGGCATAAAAGTGTTTTTTGTGGAAGATGGAAAGACACGATAGGAAACATAAGGTGTAAACATTTGCACAAATAAAACCTTTACATGAATAAGCATGTCCATCTCAAAAATACAGTTTCCCTACCTTGTGGCCATATGTGACCTGCCAATTGTGCTTTTAAATATAGTAGAAATGTGCTGGATAATGTTTATATAATTTTAGTGGTTAGGAAAAATATATTGCACCTAGTGATTACAAGCACTATTTTATGAAATGGAAATAATGCCTTCAGATGAACAGTTACAAAATCACAATGGATGCTGTCAATATCATTTCCTAATTATAAACTTCCATTATCCATTGCTAGGACTAGAGATGAGCGAATCGAACATGACGAAGTGGAATTCGTTCCGAAGATTTGGAAAAATTTCGATTCGCGCCGAATCCGAAGATTAGCACACTTCGGATGCACGAATCGAATTTTCCAAAAAATGGCGGCGACATGTGTGGTGACGGAGCGGGGATCTCTGGGAAGGCGCGCAGACAAGGCGCTCTGACCCATAATGCATTCATTCATGACATGTGATCGCATTAGCCAATCAGCAGCCAGCCAGCCAGCACTGTGTAATGGTGGAGCTATAAATCGCGGCCATCTTAGAATTCTCCATTAGCCTCCGGTCATTCAAGAGAGACAGACCTGTGTGTATGAAGGGACAGAGTTAGGGCCACAGAGACTTTAGGGCCACAGAATCGTTACTCAGGGACACAGAATCGTTACTCAGGGACACAGAATCGTTACTCAGGGACACAGAATTGTTACTTAGGGCCACAGCTATCAAAGAATCGAAAATTTAAAGTGACATACACCCTTTTTTTTTTGGTGGCTGTCGTGCACAGTTGGTGCTGCAGTTTGCCGATTGTGCAAAATAAACTGACTTTCTGCTTCACAACCACTATTGTACGTTCAAAGAGTTAAATCCATTTACACGCCGGCTGGCAGTAATATTTTTTTGGTGATTAGTGCATTCCAGTGACACAAACGTACAGTTTCCAGCCAACGGCAAGCTGCAATTGACCGATTGTGTACAATAAACTGACTTTCTGCTTCACAACCACTATTGTACGTTCAAAGAGTTAAATCCATTTACACGCCGGCTGGCGGTAATATTTTTTGGGTGATTAGTGCATTCCAGTGACACAAACGTACAGTTTCCAGCCAACGGCAAGCTGCAATTGACCGATTGTGCTAAATAAACTGACTTTCTGCTTCACAACCACTATTGTACGTTCAAAGAGTTAGATCCATTTACACGCCGGGTGGCGGTAATATTTTTTGGGTGATTAGTGCATTCCAGTGACAGAAACGTACAGTTTCCAGCCAACGACAAGCTGCAATTGACCGATTGTGCTAAATAAACTGACTTTCTGCTTCACAACCACTATTGTACGTTCAAAGAGGTTAAATCCATATACACGCCGGGTGGCGGTAATATTTTTTTTGGGTGATTAGTGCATTCCAGTGACATAAACGTACAGTTTACAGCCAACGGCAAGCTGCAATTGACCGATTGTGCTAAATAAACTGACTTTCTGCTTCACAACCACTATTGTACGTTCAAAGAGTTAAATCCGGTTTTATTTTTGGGGTGCTTATTGAATTAAAGAGTATGTCAGACAACACGCAGAGGAGTGGCAGAGGAGGCAATGTTTCAGGAGCGAGCAGACGTGGCAGCAGAGGAAGGGGTCGAGGCAGCACTAGTCGCAGCCAGAGGCCAGTGCTCCCGGTGTCATCCAGCGGTCGGTCGTGTCTCCACCGACAACCCTGCCATCATCGATTGGTTGACTCGGTCGTCTTCCTCTTCTCAGGTCACCTCTGACACCTACAGCCAACGGTCGGTGGGTACGTCAGACACAACCGTTAGTTGGCATGGCCCGGGAGCAAGCCCACTGAAATCACGTGTCCTCTACCTGCCCCTGTCCTTTGGTGTTCCCTCACCAAGCAAAGTATCGCATGCTGTGGGCTGTGAGGAAGAGCTAACAGAGGGCGGTCAGGAACGGGGGGAGACATCCGCCTCTTCAGCAGCCAGGCGAAGAAGTACTGGCGAGGAGAGTGGCTCGGTAGCCGGTCTAGAGACAGGTCTGTCTCCTGACCCACACGCAGCCGAGGGGGCTAGTAGTGACGCGGAGACCCTAATTGATGATGATGAGGCTGACCGCACTTGGCAGCCTCGTCGTCATCAGGCTATTGCTTCCGCATCATCAGGAGAAGAGGGTGCCAGCTTGCCAGCGAGCAAAACAGTCGGTGGGTTGCCCAGGAGACAGCAGCAGGGTCGCAGCAGTGTCAGTGGAGCCAAACGGCCACGGAGTAGAGCACCAGCTCCACTGCAGCCTACCACCACGGCCAGTAGTGGTGCCGGTGTGCACGGAGGAAGTAGCAGTCAGCCAGTGAGGAGTAGCGGGGGCAAAGTTTCCTACTCGGCGGTGTGGCAATTTTTCGTCAAGCCGCCCGAGGAAGTAAACGTAGCCGTATGTCGACTATGTGGCCAGAAAGTCAAGCGTGGCCAGGGGGCCAATGTTGGGACTACAGCGTTGTGTCAGCATATGCAGCGTCGCCATTCGGTGGCCTGGGAAAACCGTGATAAAGATATACGGCGGTTCTGCCTGCCCCAGCCCCCGCTCCATCACCCGCTCCCTTACTTGCTCCGTCACCCGACGTCAATCGCCCTCTATCAGCCAGTCAAGGCTCCAACACCTCTGCTGAGGGGAGTTGTCGCTCGTTGGCATCTTCCGCTCGTTCAGATGCTCCTTCTCCTGCTACTCCTCTTCACGGATTCCGTCAGCAGTCTTTCTTGGAATCCCGTTTCCAAGAGAAAACAGTTTGCGAGCACGCACCCGACGACGGTGCAGAAGCTGAACGTCCTCCTGTCCAAGTTGCTGGTGCTGCAGTCCCTCCCTTTCCAAGTGGTGGACTCAGCACCTTTCCGAGAAATGATGGCTTGTGCAGAGCCGCGGTGGAGAGTGCCAAGCCGGCATTTCTTCGCCAAAAAGGCAGTGCCAGCCCTGCATTCACATGTAGAAGAGATGGTGGGCCAGTCTTTGAGCATGTCGGTCGCTGCCAAAGTGCACGGCAGCGCCGACGTGTGGAGCTGTAAACTACGGTCAGGGACAGTACATGTCATTTACGGCCCACTGGGTGAACGTGCTGCCGGCACAGCCGCACCAGCAACTTGGACAGGTCACGCCGCTTTTGCCTCCACGTTTGCACGTCCTTGGTCCAGCAAAGATGTCCACCTCTACCACCTCTTCTTCCGCCGTGTCCTCAGCCGCCACCCCCGTGCCAAGTCCCATACCCGACCGGCATATCACATGTGCAGGGCGCAACGGTGTCACGCTGTGCTGCACCTGGTATGCCTTGGCGAACGTAGTCACACACGGGAGGAACTTCTGAGTGTAATGAACAGAGAAATCGACAGATGGCTGTCTCCGCGCAAACTGAAAATCGGAA